GTGGGACTTCGGGAAGCTGGACTTTCTTTTCGGGCAATTGCAGTTAGAGTGCAAAGAAGTGTAGACACTGTGGTTAGGTGTTGTCAGGCATGGCTTCGAGAAGGCCGTACGCAAAGAGCAAGGGGCACTGGACGTCGCCGTAGAACAACAGACCGTGAAGATCGCCGCCTAAGATTATTGGCCTTAAGGGACCGTTTCTCCACTACCAGGTCCATTGCAAATGAATGGTTTGCAGAACACGGAATACCTATTGGCATGCGAAGTGTTTACCGACGAATGAGAAGTTTTGGCTTGTTTTCATACCGGCCACACTGGGTCCTCCCTTTAATTCGAGAACACCGACGTAATCGCCTTGAGTGGTACAGACAACGGTCACTCTGGGATCAGGAATGGAACAGTATTGTCTTTAGTGACGAGTCTCGATTTTGTTTAGGCATGCAAGATGGTCGTGCCAGGGTTAGAAGGCGACGTGGTGAAAGGAGGAATCCACAGTTTTTTGTTGAAAGACATGTTCATCACACTGTTGGAGTTATGGTTTGGGGTGCTATAGCTTATGGTTCCAGGTCACCTTTAATCTTCATCAGAGGTAACATGAACGCGCAGCGTTATATCCACGAAGTTCTAGAACCCTATCTTTTACCCTATCTTGACACCCTGGCAGATCCAACTTTCCAACAAGATAATGCCCGACCACATGTTGCAAGAGTCACAATAGACTTCTTTCAACATAATGATGTCACATTGTTACCATGGCCACCAAGATCTCCCGACTTATCCCCAATTGAGCACGTGTGGGATATGATGGGTAGGAGATTGCTCAATTTGCAACGTCCTCCTCAGACTCTAGAAGAACTTCGAGAGGAGTTGGTGGTTGCCTGGAATGAGATACCACAGGAGGACATTGACCACCTGATCAGAAGCATGCCTAGGTGCGTTGGAGAATGCGTAGCACATCAGGGTGCATCCACACATTATTAAAGGTCAAAGGGCTTTAAAGCAGTGCAATCATTTCGAAATTTTTATCATTTACTTATTATGCTTCATTAAGTACTTATACAAAATTTTATTAAAATAAAACCATTTAAACTGGGTGTTCGGATTTATATGTCGCTTAGTATATTTACTGCAGTTATAGTGTTTTGCAGATTTTATTCTTCCAAAATCCACACTGGTTCATATTATATTATATAACAATTGATATAATAGCAATGCTGGAATCCAAAGCCATGATAATTATAGTTTTGTACAGAAACGAAAAAACGGATTCACAGTGGTTAGCCAATTAAAAAATGTGCTTCATATCTGTAACGATTTATGAAATTGTAGCGAGTCAACACTTCTGGTTTGAAAAACCTTTTTTGTCGTCGAGTTATTTATGTAATGAAAACAACGTATAGAAGTGTTTATAAAACTGTATTACTAATGTGATAGTTTTTTAGGAAGATCAATTTTGAAATGTGTTAGCCAAAGAAAGCCTCAGGTTTCTTTTTGTTTCGTATAATTTGGTGAACGGTTTTCTTCGGAGTTTTTTAGTGCAGCCAAAGAAATAATATTACGTCTATAATTCTAGTTGACCAACGGAAATAAATAATAAGACAAAAAAAATCAGTATGAAGAAATGCTGCAAGCATTTCCGTCGCTGGATTTGTGGGGAACGACTGTCGAGCTTGTTTGCCCAAAAGTGGCTATAAAAGCTATCCCCTGTCCAAAAAAGTAGGAAAAAGTTCTTACATCGGTATTTTACAGGATAGGTTTTGAATCGTAATACATGTGCGGTAGACAATTCGTGATAACTATTCGATTTTCATTCATCATACAAGACAGTCGACGAATTTGGGATATGGAAAGGTTATAAAGTATTTTACGTTTTTCGTCGCTTTGTACAACCAGTAACCCGAAAACAATTTTTTTTATTTAGATTGGCCTTAACGTTTACAGGGCTCAGTATTCCATTTGAGAGAGAATATGCAGTTTCAAAAGCTTTCAACAAATCAAATGAACTCTTTAACAAATTAAAACCTACAGCTATTGTGTATTAGAAGTTCATAACTTACAATTTATAAAAACTTCCGAAACGCTCTCGAAGCGTGGGAGCTTTTGTAGAAATTGCATGTTTAAGGACTGCTCATACCGTCTTGAAGTGAAATATACTCTGTTCTGAGCATAAAATTTACTTGCATCTAGAATTTTCTCTTTCCGCGTTTTTTTTTTTTTTGGTCAAGATCGGTAGTACATGTGTCAAATAAATCGATAAAAAAGCTAGTGCAACTGATAATTCCTTTTCGTTTGTTATACTTTTGTCTGATATTGTTTAATTTTTATTAAACATGGAAAAAACCTGAGCATTCTGATTTAAAGGTGCTACGGTGGATATTGTCAGTATCGGGATGATGCTTCATGTCAAATGACCAGGGTCTCTAAGCGGAGCTTTCTATCTTGGAACTAACTCAAATTTCAAGTTGATCGCATCTATGAAATGAATTTAAATATTCTTGAACATTTTTCATTTTATTTTGGTACTTGGCTATCTTTTAAAAGATCAGAGTTCACAATTATGACATTTTTGTGCAAAATCATTTATATCAATATTTCTATACGAGGGCAGTCGTAATTTCTACATCTATCATAAAATATGGTAACATACAAAACATATATAAAATAAAGGGCTAAAACAAAGTTAAAACAATTCAATACACAATAATGATGAATAATGATGACACTTTAACTTTTGTTTTTAATGTCAGCGTATTGGAGTAACACATTTTTTATCATGTATTTTTGCGTTTTATTATAGATTTGAATATGATAGTGATGCGATTGACTTAAGTACTCAGATAAAGACGAATCTTCGCTTTTAAGAAAACAATCAGGTGCTAAGTTAAAAAGAAAAATATCGACGAAGGTTTAAACTACGTAAAATAGTAATAATAATATTTATTCACTCAATAGCCTAATAATAATATTGTCAATTTTCCCTGAAATAATTGTAAAGTCTGGTTTTATTGGTACAAGTTTTTCAAGCGGGTATTTAAAACATGGACGCATAAAATGGGTACACCAATCATTGTGGGAAAACTTTTTATTCGTCAACAAAGAATGACTAAACTTGTTTTTTTGTAATTCAATCGAAAGTGTTGACAGGAACGGAAAAACTTTTAATATAAGATTTTTAGGTATTTATGAGACCTACAAAATCACGCTACACATGAAAAGATCCGACAAATAGCAAAAATGTTATGGCCGAAAAACGAGGCAGATTTCGGCATTTGTTGGTAATGCGACGATAATTTCACGTAAGCACTTGAAATTCTTCAAATCCGTAGGATTCATACTTCTAAATAACAACAACAAAATTGAAGTATATTGGTCAAGTATTTTTTTGAGAATTTCTAATTGTTTATTCCAACACATCTGTTTTCCGGCCATCACTACTAGTTCATTGAGCAATATACAGGGTTCTTTAAAAAATCTTGCCGATATGAAGCACAAACCATTCCTAAAGACAAAAATTATTTTTTATGCGAAAAACAGTGGTTACGTTTTCTTCTTGTAAGCTAATTCAAACATTTCGTATTTGTAAATAATTGAACAAATACGCTTCGATATTCGAGAAACATACGTTACTCTACACATTTGAAAACAAAGCAAATGTGTCTATCATCAGACATTAAATGTTTGAATTTGTTTAGAAGAAAAACGTAAAAAATACTTTTTTGCATTAAAATAACATTTATCCTCCGGAACGGTTTGCGATTCATATCGGCAGGGTAAACTAGTGTATTTTGTTATGAAATGATCTTTGACAACAAAATGCCCTTTCAACTAACCCTGTATATTGCTCAATAAATTTGTAGTGATGGCCGGAAAGCAAGCGTTTTGGGATAAACAATTAAAAAAACTATTGACTAATCTACTCCAACTTTGTTGTGGTTATTTAGAAGTACGAATCCTACGAATTTGATGAATTTCAAATATCCGTGAAAAACTATCGTCGAATTACCCAACAAGTACCAAAACCTGCAGTTTTCGGCTATAACGTCGGATCTTTTTACATGTAGTCTCATTTTGAGTTTTTTAGTCCCTACCAACACTTTCGATTGAATCCCAAAAAATACGTTTTCTCATTCTTTGTTGTCGAATAAAAGTTTTCCCACAAAAATTGGTGTACCCATTTTATGCATCCATGTTTCGAATACCCCCTTGAGCAACTTGCAGCAATAAAACCAGACTTTAAAATAATTTCGTAAACGGGTATTTTTGTCTATTATGATTAGACTACAAATAAAAGAACAAGAGTAAATAAATATAAAAGAGAAAGAGGCCCAAGCTGTGCTAAGACCAGTAATTTTAAGTTGTAACTGTAACATAGAATACAAATTACAAAAAAGGGCAAGAATCAGTCACAATCGATTATGTATTAATGTTCGTGTTCATGAGTTTATGAACTTCGGTCCTAGATGTAGAATGTACCCACCTTTTTAATTTTCTTTTGACATAATTTTCGAAATATACATATTTTAAATCTTTATGTATAGTTTTGGCGCTAAATAGAGATATGACCGTTGCATTGTTGATTTATTTGGCTGAGGCACCACGAATTTTGCACCTTGTATAATGATTATGTTTAATATATTCTGAAGTACTTAAATGCAAACATGTCATTGATGGGGTTAACTTGAAGTTTGAGTTATTTCTAGGGTCGAAAACCACGCTTGTAGATCCTGATCCGTTGATTGCCAATGTCCAGTTGATACCAAACGGCATCATATCAAATGAAGGATGACAATTAGCGCTGTCGCTTCCTGAATGTGCTCAAGATTTGAAGCAATGTTATAAAAAAAGCTAACAACCCCCTTCTTGCAATTTTGCATTATTGCTAGTTCAAATATAGCAAAGGTTACGTATGGGAAAAATACGAAAATAAACTGCTGCAGGTGATGATTTTCAATTTATTTATTTTCATCAATAAATATTACATCCTAGTCCTATCAGTCCTCTCATTACCAAGCAGTGTAGGCCGCAGCTGGGGCAGCATAAGCTACGTGAGCTGGTTCACTGATGACATCCTTCCTGTAGGAAGAGTGACTTGAACTGGCTGAGATCACTGGGGCAGCGTGGGCAATCACTGGGGAAGCACGTACCTCAGCAACAACTGGGGTCGCGTGGGCAGCATATACCGGCTCACTAATGATGTCTTTCCTGTACTGGTGGCTTGAGCTGGATGAGTATACTGGGGCAGCATGAGCAACCACTGGGGCAGCACGCACCTCAGCGACGACTGGGGCAGCGTGGGCGGCATATACGGGCTCACTAATGATGCCTTTCCTGTACTGGTGGCTTGAGCTGGATGAGTATACTGGGGCAGCATGAGCAACCACTGGGGCAGCACGCACCTCAGCGACGACTGGGGCAGCGTGGGCGGCATATACGGGCTCACTAATGATGTCTTTCCTGTACTGGTGGCTTGAGCTGGATGAGTATACTGGGGCAGCATGAGCGATCACTGGGGCAGCACGTACCTCAGCAACTACAGGGGCGGCATGAACTTCAGTTACCACAGGGGCAGCATGGGCTACATATGCGGGTTCGTTGATAATGTCCTTTCTGTATTGGTGGCTTGAGCTGGATGTGTATACTGGGGCAGAGTGGGCAAGAACTGGGCCAGCGTGAACTTCAGTTACCCCAGGAGCGGCGTGAAATTCAGCGACCACAGGAGCTGCGTGAGCAATGTAAGCGGGTTCGCTGATGACATCTTTTCTGTAAGTGTGGCTAGAGCTGATTGGGGCAGCATGAACCTTCAAAAGAGATTTTCAATGAAATATTGTCATGCTTGGGATACAATGCGCAAACTAAAAGCATCCAGTAATTTCAAGCAGGTAAGCGTACAGTAAACATCGTGTTTATTAAATTAGAGTTAAGGAACAAGATCCCATGACTATAAGCAAAAATAATAGTTTTCGGGGAAATTGTAAGTGTCCGAGTTTTGGTTCGGTTTGAGTGTTTGAGTTCCCCTTCAAAGGAATGCACTTTAGATAAGAGATTACTATGTTAAATTTATCAGGAGAAATATTTACTAATTGTCATATTTTACTGAATATACCTGACTGTTGTTCTCCTCATAGTTTTAAAGATTCAGACAGTGTGGTAGGTATCCATAGCAAAGGTGGCATGACGATGTATATAAAGGGTTATTAAAATTTGATTCCTAGCTTAGGAGGTTAAAAAGCGTGACAGATTCAAATGTATTAATTTACGTTTATTGCGTAAATGGCGAAAAAAACAAGATTTTATAATACTTTTGGGAAGAAAAATTTGATTTTTCCAAAGTAAATTTTACTATTACCTTGATTTATTTGAAAAATCTATATATTTATCATTAAAGTGACATATTTAACCGCATTTTCATTAATCTATTCCGCCTATCTCTATCAGCGACTATCACAAGTATGACATACCCCTCTGAAAACAAAGTTTTTTTAGATCAGACATTATTTTGTCACTACTATGCTTGCTCTTACAAAACCTTAGTAAGTAAGTTAACATTCCTCAGACTTTTGCATATGTAGATTTGAGCTATCTGGCAAGATTTCTAATATATATTTCATATTCGCCATCTTATCTATACACATATTTGTTTGAACTACTTATTTCGCATTACTATACTAAGTGACATATAAATCCGAACACCCAGTTTAAATGGTTTTATTTTAATAAAATTTTGTATAAGTACTTAATGAAGCATAATAAGTAAATGATAAAAATTTCAAAATGATTGCACTGCTTTAAAGCCCTTTGACCTTTAATAATGTGTGGATGCACCCTGATGTGCTACGCATTCTCCAACGCGCCTAGGCATGCTTCTGATCAGGTGGTCAATGTCCTCCTGTGGTATCTCATTCCAGGCAACCACCAACTCCTCTCGAAGTGCTTCTAGAGTCTAAGGAGGACGTTGCAAATTGAGCAATCTCCTACCCATCATATCCCACACGTGCTAAATTGGGGATAAGTCGGGAGATCTTGGTGGCCATGGTAACAATGTGACATCATTATGTTGAAAGAAGTCTGTTGTGACTCTTGCAACATGTGGTCGGGCATTATCTTGTTGGAAAGTTGGATCTGCCAGGGTGTCAAGATAGGGTAAAAGATGGGGTTCTAGAACTTCGTGGATATAATGCTGTGCGTTCATGTTACCTCTGATGAAGATTAAAGGTGACCTGGAACCATAAGCTATAGCACCCCAAACCATAACTCCAACAGTGTGTCGTTCAACAAAAAACTGTGGATTCCTTCTTTCACCACGTCGCCTTCTAACCCTTACACCGACGTAATCGCCTTGAGTGGTGCAGACAACGGTCACTCTGGGATCAGGAATGGAACAGTATTGTCTTTAGTGATGAGTCTCGATTTTGTTTAGGCATGCACGATGGTCGTGTCAGGGTTAGAAGGCGACGTGGTGAAAGGAGGAATCCACAGTTTTTTGTTGAAAGACATGTTCATCACACTGTTGGAGTTATGGTTTGGGGTGCTATAGCTTATGGTTCCAGGTCACCTTTAATCTTCATCAGAGATAACATGAACGCGCAGCGTTATATCCACGAAGTTCTAGAACCCCATCTTTTACCCTATCTTGACACCCTGGCAGATCCAACTTTCCAACAAGATAATGCCCGACCACATGTTGCAAGAGTCACAATACACTTCTTTCAACATAATGATGTCACATTGTTACCATAGCCACCAAGATCTCCCGACTTATCCCGAATTGAGCACGTGTGGGATATGATGGGTAGGAGATTGCTCAATTTGCAACGTCCTTCTCAGACTCTAGAAGCACTTCGAGAGGAGTTGGTGGTTGCCTGGAATGAGATACCACAGGAGGACATTGACCACCTGATCAGACGCATGCCTAGGCGCGTTGGAGAATGCGTAGCACATCAGGATGCATCCACACATTATTAAAGGTCAAAGGGCTTTAAAGCAGTGCAATCATTTTGAAATTTTTATCATTTACTTATTATGCTTCATTAAGTACTTATACAAAATTTGATTAAAATAAAACCATTTAAACTGGGTGTTCGGATTTATATGTCACTTAGTATATTTTTGGCATAAATAACAAAATTCATCAAATAAACTGTGTACGCTCTAGTGGAAGCTACCGATTTACAAAAGAACCAAGTTGACTTAGTACTTTCCCCGTATTAATGTATGGAAATACAAATACGCCAATGTACATATTAGCCTGCTAACGTGTTATGAAATAACGAGATACTCAATAATCGTCTAACTGTACCTTGAAGTGATATAAATCAAAAGGAATTAAGAAAAATGAATTCAACTAGGCAAATTCTGTCTGTTTCCCACTTTCTAATGTACTATTTGTGATACAGCACAACATGATCATCTATTTACCTACAAGGAACGACTCATCTTTAGAAAAAAGCTTAATATGAAGGTGGTAAAATTACCAAAAAATCATTTTGATCATGTCTATGATAGCTCTCTGTTTATTTTAGTGAAATTTGACAGATGGCTATCACTCATTAAGAGGCATTTGATAACGACTATCGGTTTTTGCATATGAAAACTAAAATGCGTTATATTTCAGTTATTTCATTTGTTATGTTATATCATTTTCCACATTGCAGCCTTATAACCACGGAGATAAATATTCTTTACGCTAAAACTGTTATCGATAGAAAGAAAATCAAAATTAGCACAGAAGTGAATGAGAACTATACAAACAATTTTTCACAAGAAAAAGCAGGGGTGAACCATATTGTCATCAAAACTATTCAGCTCATGAACAAAACTTCAGCACACTGTATTACAAAATTTAAAACCTCTAGGACATAGATTCATATGAAGTCTATTTCTTAAAATGTATAAAAAATCGCTCGTTTTACCTTACTTTTAAATAGTGATTTATGAAGTCATTTAAATTCCCGCTTTTCTCTATCTGAGCTTAGCATGGTAACCTGTACCTAGCTTCAAGTTATTTGTTCGTAATCGTGATCTGTATTTCGCTTGGAAACGTCGTGATTCATAAACAACAATAGATTTCCATAAAAATTAGGCATGTTCCTTTCGGGATTCAAAATATACAATTCCGGTAAATAATCGTATCGGAGTAAATTGAAAAAACGGCGGAATGCAAACATACCTCAGTAACAAAGGGAGCAGCATGGACCTCAGTTACAATAGGAGCAGCAACAATTGCGGGCTCACTGATGACATCCTTCCTGTAGCTGTGTGTCTCTGCAGAAGAAGATGACACTGGAAGTGCGTATTCAACATGGCCCAAAGCCACCCCACTGGGCTTGGCAACAGCCACAGCTGCGAGGGCAAACAACACCACCAATTTGAACATTGTTGAAAAGGTCTGTGTTGTTAGTTCAGAGACTGACTGAAAGTACTGGATGTCCGAATTGTTTTTCGGTATCGTATTTATAGGTGATCCATATCTGCAAATTTTTTTTGCAAGTTCGCGTGACGTCAAAAGTGGACGCAGTAGTCGTCGTGTTTAAGGATTTCGGTAAGTTAACGGCCTTGATACGCTGGCATTAAGCTATGTAGATGTATTGTTTCCTCTTGGGCGGATGAATGGATACAGGATCTTGCACTGCGTATGAATACACTGCCCAACAAAATTTTATTTTAACTTCCACGCCAAATAGACTAACAAACCTGAAATAGGGTATCTACTTGATATTTCATGACATATATACCACAGACCAAACATTTCAATCGATCTGCCTATCCTGTTATTAGTGCTTCAAAACAAACATTTAAATTCTTAATGTCAGTGCGGTGATCGCAGAATAATTAGGAAAAACACAAGTTTTCACCGAGATCATAAATAGGCATACTCCATGGAACGTTATACGTTATACACGTTATGTTGAAAAGTGATAATTTCACACCAAAACCAAAAAGACCTTTCCTACTGGTTCAAAGTAAGCACATACTATATATTTTTATACAGGGTCCGTCAGAAAGAACGCATGTTTTTGAAATGAGTAGTACAGTCAAAATAAGTTTGGGAAAAATATTCTATTATATCAAAATACATGCCATTTTTTTGAGTAAAACAAAATTTACGTTCTAAAACTATGTCGGCCATATGGCGCCTTTGAGCCGAAATGGAGGGATCAAGCCTCTCCCGAAATGAGCCCATTGCGTCGGCCAGCATCCGTGCAGGAATTTGGGTTACTGCTCTTCTTATTTCCTCCTTCAAATCGACGAGGGTCCGAGTCTTGCTTTGGTAAGATTTTGATTTCAGGTAGCTGCATAAAAAAATTCACACGTTGACAGGTTCTGGGAGCGAGGAAGGCATGGAATATCGTCATGTCGTGAAATGAGACGTTCGCAGAATTTTTGCCGAAGAAGTTCAATCGCAGTGCGAGCTATGTGGGATGTTGCCCCGGCTTGTTGGAACCGCACTGTTCTGAGACGGACACGTCGACGTCGAAGTTCCGGAGACAAAAAGTTGTTCAGCATGTGGATGTAACGCCTGGAATTCACAGTAGTTGTTTCTCCATCATCCTCAAAAAAATAAGGGCCAATAATAATCGTTGGGCCTACTGCCACACCAACCTGTAACTTTCAGAGTACGCAGGGGGTGCTCATGCAACTCTTGGGGGTTCACTGGAGACCAATATCGACAATTTTGTTTATTGATGTATCCATGTAAATGAAAATATGCTTCATCACTCATAAGCAACGTGATGTCATTGTTATACAACTGTTCAATCATGAGCTGTGCAAAATTAACACGTTGTGCATAATCCCTGTTAACACTGGACAACAAATTTTAGTTTTTTAATTGTATCTGGTGGGAAAAGTGCACTTCTTTTTTAATTTTGGGGCGCTGAATCCAAAAATGACAATGAAATAAAAAAATTAGTTGCGGTTTAGAAAAAAAACTTTTTATTTTTAAGGATATATTAAAAAAAGTAACAAGATTCATATACTTATAAGAATCACTATATGCGCTGTCTTTTTGCTGTTCTTTTATGGATCGTTTCTGGAGCATCTCTACCAAGAGTCCAACAGTAGTCGGCAAGCATGGAAGGATTCCACTTTCCCTGGTACCTTTTTTCCATTGTTGAAATATCCCGATGAAAACGTTCGCCGTGCTCATCACTTACGGCTCCGCAATTGTCAGGAATAAAGTCCAGGTGTGAGTGTAGGAAATGTATCTTAAGAGACATATTACAGCCCATCTTTTGATACGATGACAGCATATTTTTGACAAGGGTTTTATAGTTGTCAGCTTTTCTATTTCTCAAGAAATTAGTGACCAGCAGGCGGAAATCATTCCAAGCAGTTTTTTCAATACCTGTTAAAGTGTTTTCAAACTGTGTATCTTTCAAAATATTTCGAATCTGTGGCCCAACAAAAATACCTTCTTTAACCTTTGCCTCACTTAGTCTTGGAAATTTCTGACGCAGGTATTGAAAAGCTGACCCATCTCTATCTAATGCCTTGACAAAGTGTTTCATTAGGCCCAACTTGATATGCAGTGGTGGTAATAAAATTTTTTCCGAATCTACTAATGGCATATGCTGTACATTTTTTTGACCTGGCTCTAGGAATTGACTAACAGGCCAGTTTTGTCTGGTGTAATGAAGTGCCTTTGCCCGATTGTCCCATTCACACAAAAAAACAGCAAAACTTTGTGTAGCCTAGCTGCAGCCCAAGTAAAAGTGCAACAACTTTCAAATCGCCACAAATATGCCATTGGTACTCATCGTATTTTATGCATGTCAATAGGTACTTTATATTGTCATATGATTCTTTCATGTGAACTGCATACCCTACAGGAAGAGATGGTAAAATATTTCCAATATGCAATAACACTGCCTTTAAACTCAATGTTGAACTGTCCATAAACAATCTCTATTCTTCTGGGTTATAGTCTATATTTAAAGCCGCCAGTAAGCCGTTAATGTTACTGCAGAAAACCAAGTTATTCTCCATATTGAAAAATGGTTCTGTCTTTGTGGCGTTTACGAAAAACACATACCGAAACATCGTCTTCTAACAAGTTCCACTGCTGCAGTCTTGATCCAAGTAACTCTGCTTTACATTTTGGAAGTTCTAAATCTCTTACAAGATCATTTAATTCTGACTGTGTTATTTTGTGCGGTTGGTGGCATGACGTGCTCGGTATAAAATCAGGATCTCTTGACGTTGATGGCATATCTTCTTCCTGACGAATCACTCGATCGCCATGATCTGATTCGTTTTCTGATTCGTAAGTGTAGGATTCTGGGGGTTTTGGAATAGGATTTTCGTCACTGTGAGGCACACGTCTCATCGCGGATGGTATGTTTGGGTAGTTAATAACCGATTTTTTTTTCTTGGACATACCTGTGGCTTGTCCAACACAAGGTACCATGCAAAAGTAACAATCATTAATATGATTTGTAGGCTCTCTCCAAACCATTGGGACAGCAAAGCGCATAGACCGTTTTTTGCCATTTAACCAGCTCCTCAGACTTGAAGCACATGTATTACAGCAGATATGGGGTGCCCACTGTTTGTCTTGATCACCTAGTTTACAACCGAAATAAAGCTGATATGCCTTTGTTATTAGTGGAGTAATAGACCGTCTCTGAGATGCAAAAGTCACATCACCACACACGTAACAAAACTGATCTGGATTGTTTACACACTTTCGAGACATCTTGCATGAACGCTGTCAGCCAACTGAGGAAAAAATGGCTAATATAAAACAATATAATGTACACGTATGTATAACGTAACACAATCACGCCGATTAAATCATCTTTCCTTGCCGAATATAAAAATGTAGCACGTGCATTCTTGTGAATTACAGTATATTAACACTGTCACAGCAGGAACACATATAATTACCGTAACTCTAAAACTTGAACTAATATTGAAAAAATAAGTTTCATTCCGGTTTTAGCACATTAAAAATAGTAATATTTTGTTGATTTTATTTAGGATATTTTTTGGCTGTTGATCAGTGTAACAGTTGTTGACAAACTAGGATTTTGTAAGGATGGAACACTAAATCCTTCCTCAAGATGCGACGTACAGAGGACGCGTGGATCCCTAGGGAACTGGCACGCAAACGGACGGAACGATTCGGGCTTTGCAACTGTCACTCTGACTACGTTTTCGGGGGTTCTAACAGTACGGTTTCGCCATGGAGGTTTTTTCTTCATCACATTACTTGTTGTGTTGAATGCTTCCAACCATCTCAAAATGGTGTTTTGGACTGGTACTGTCCCACGACGAGGAACACGAAAGTGAACGCGAAACTCACGTTGCGTTCGAAACACAGACTCTCCATTTTGAAAGTACCGACGTACAGTGAACACACGATGCTCAACGTTCCAAACCATCTTGCCAACTGAAACGGCACTTCTCCCACTATCCAACACGCCCTTCCCGACCTACACGGGACCAGCCCACTCGATGTAGTACCCATTCGAAAAACATGCGTTCTTTCTGACGGACCCTGCATATATGAAGCTGACACACTAAATCGACCACGAAAATAGATAAAAAATTGAGCAGAAGTTTAAAAACTTTTTTCTAGCACACGCAATCATGTTGATTAAAATTCCAGTTTCGACTATCTCATTCTATAGATTGTATATTGTAAGATAAACATTATCACGATCGGGCGGACAAATTTCTAGAAATACTTTTCTCCAATAATGGCTTCTCGATATTTAGCAAGGTTTGCTTTTTCAAAACTTATGATAACCTAGAAATGTAATAACCTGCCATTTTTTATCTTAATCGGTTTGAATCGTAAAACCTATTTTCACTTGAAGGAAAATTGTTTACACAGGTGAGCATTTTTTATGAATTCACAATTAAACAAGATGTTCTGTGATTGAGACACGCATCAAAGGTGCATTTTTTAAGTGAATCGCTCTATTTTTTGTTTAATGTTTCGGTTGGTCCATTTTAAAGAAGAGCATTGGTATAAAATACTTGTGGTTTTTTATTTAGATGCTAAAAAAGCACCGCATTCACAGCTTCGCCGTTTGTACAGCTCGAGTATTGAGTTTTGCGAAATTCTTTACCATTGTCCATGTAGGTTATTTAACGGTACTCTGAAATTTTTATTTAAGAATTCAAGTGGGACGCCCTGTACATTAACATATAATGCTACTTCTTTTAAAAAAGATGCCATCAGGTTCTCACAGGTGAATAAACTTGGTACACCATAATGACTATAATTGTTAAGCGTCGTGAAGCCGAGATTAGAGCAGGGTAGGAGTCGTTTCGGACCTCACTTGTCTCCGATAATGGATGATACCAGCTTATTTTTTTCCACATGTTTTTATAGAGCTTTAATTAATCTCAGTAATATACGGAAGT